TTTTCAAATGCTTTCTCAATATGATGATTTGTTCGAGGATCGTTGATCATTGCTGCTTGTTCTTCCGATTCTTCTTCAACTGATGAAGTTTCTTCGATTGAGGAAGCATTGAGAATCGTGAATTGATCTTCTGTAAAAAATTCTTCTTCTTCGCCATCATCAATTGTTGTCTGATGGCCGTCTTCGTTTGCAGTGTTGTTTTCTTCATCATGAATATTTCCATCAACTGATTCATTCATTGAGATAACATTCCAATCATCATCCGAGTCATCATCTTCGATGACAATAACTTCATCTTCTGAAGAAGTGCCAGGAGTTTCATTGCTGAACGCATTTGAGTAAACTTCGTGGCTGACCGCGTTTGGATCAGTTTCGTTGCTGAACGCATTTGAGTAAACTTCGTTGCTGACCGCGTTTGGATCAGTTCCGTTACTGAGTCCATTTGGATAAATTTCGTTGTTGAACGCATTTGGGTAAACTTCGTTGTTGAAGTTATTTGAGTAAACTTCGTTGCTGACCGCGTTTGTATCAGTTTCATTGCTGAACGCATTTGAGTAAACTTCGTTGCTGATCGCGTTTGGATCAGTTTCGTTGTTGAATGCATTTGGATCAGTTTTGTTGCTGAAGTTATCCATATAAGTTTCGTTGGTGATCCCATTTGCATCAGTTTCCTTTACTTTAACTGATTTGATGATTTCATAACAAACTTTGAATTTAACCACCATTGTTGAATCATTGATATAGAAATGTTTCGAGCAGAAATCCGGTGAAAACATCACTTGTTCTATGCACAATTCTCGCCCTTGATCAGCGACAATTTTAACTTCGAAGTTGGCGACGAAGCTTGGAAGATTTTCGCATTCGAAAGAGAATGATAAATTTCTACCATCTTTCATCAGCTTAATGAACCTGCAAAGTAAATAAAAATTAATACAAATTTAGTCAAGTTTTCTTTATAAATTTCCTTACCATGATTCGTCACTATTTTCCAAAGGAAAGTTTTCAGTTTTCACATAACAATTTGAAGGGAATTCAAAATTTTGCAGGCCACAAACGCTCCACATAAATTCTTTTTCAACTCTATCAAGATTACAAATTGCAAATCGTGACATTTTAAGATTTGTTTTGAATATGTTTCTTGCTATCTAAATAAAAATTTCAATTGAATTAATTTCAAAAATTATTTGAAGGTTTTTCGCAGAGTATAAAAATTCTGATGTTTCTTGATCGACTGTGTCTTTCAAACTGAAGAATTGAATTAAAAACCTGCCTTGATTATAACTTTCAAGAAGCTGAAGAGTAATGAGAGAAAAATTCTCAAAGTGGGAGGGAATTTAAGAAATTTAAAGGATTAACAGATGTCCACTTAATTGTATCATCTCAATTGTTTATGTATTGTTTAGTTAATAAATGAACACGTGCAATAAATGTTGGATGCGTTTACATACACAGCTGTGCACAGGTACGAAAAATATTTTCATGGGGAATTCCCACAAAAAGGATTAAAGTCAAATTAAGATTCAAGGATAATTCTTCACTAATTAAACTTCAAAACAGATTAATGGAAGTGTTTTTAAATATTGTTTTGTCTCTTACATACTTTACTAATGGAATTTACATCTAATGGAATTTTCCAATTATCAAAATTTCCCTTTAATAACCTCACAGAAGTATCAACTTTGTAATTAACTCGAATTCATTTTAACAAGTTTAATATGCAGTTGCCCAAGGGGTCAAATAGCCTCATTGGCTTAAGTCGCTTGGAGTCGGGCGTACAATTCATACGTCCCGGGTTCGAACCCCGACTTGGTCATGAGGTAGAGTGAAGTTTAGATACTTCGGCCCTTTAGTATAAATATATACAAATAGTTACTATTAGTAACAAGTGGGGAAATGGCTACAAGCTCAAACCACTACAAATAAGTTGAATCAAAAAAAAAAAAAAAATGCAGTTGCCCTCGTTGCTATCATTTTTTCTTTCTCTTAAAAGACTTTTGAGATATTTGGAAAATTAATTAAATTTTTTTCTGCAGCTTAAGTGATGCAGTGTGACAAAAAATTATTTATTTGATTCAACAATCTGTAAAAAGAAAATTTTCTAAAATTTATTAAAATTTATCAATGGAAATTTGGGATTTGAAAATATTTTTATTTTATATTTAAGTACATCAAATTACATTTTACAAGATTTTCCTTTGCTATAAACGAATTATTCATAGAAATTCATAGCATTCTCTGAATTTTCTAACAAAATCGAAGACCACGTGACAACGATTCTCTCCTGATTCTAACTCCTTCCAACCATCTGAGTTAAACAGCTCTTCATATTCATTTTCATATTCAGAAATGAAATCGGTGATGATAAATTCCTTCAATTTTTCAAATTTGCAAATGTAAGCTAATGTAAACATATTAAAGAAATTTTCTAAAGTTATGTGGTCGGACAAAGCGGTTTCCCAAACATTGAGAACCTCTTTTGGCAGCCCCACATCGCCGAAGTCTCTCCATAAATTTTGTAGATGTTCCCATTTTTCCGGTGTTTCATTATTGATAATATCAAGGAATGCTGGAATTTTTTCAAATGCTTTCTCAATATGATGATTTGTTCGAGGATCGTTGATCATTGCTGCTTGTTCTTCCGATTCTTCTTCAACTGATGAAGTTTCTTCGATTGAGGAAGCATTGAGAATCGTGAATTGATCTTCTGTAAAAAATTCTTCTTCTTCGCCATCATCAATTGTTGTCTGATGGCCGTCTTCGTTTGCAGTGTTGTTTTCTTCATCATGAATATTTCCATCAACTGATTCATTCATTGAGATAACATTCCAATCATCATCCGAGTCATCATCTTCGATGACAATAACTTCATCTTCTGAAGAAGTGCCAGGAGTTTCATTGCTGAACGCATTTGAGTAAACTTCGTGGCTGACCGCGTTTGGATCAGTTTCGTTGCTGAACGCATTTGAGTAAACTTCGTTGCTGACCGCGTTTGGATCAGTTCCGTTACTGAGTCCATTTGGATAAATTTCGTTGTTGAACGCATTTGGGTAAACTTCGTTGTTGAAGTTATTTGAGTAAACTTCGTTGCTGACCGCGTTTGTATCAGTTTCATTGCTGAACGCATTTGAGTAAACTTCGTTGCTGATCGCGTTTGGATCAGTTTCGTTGTTGAATGCATTTGGATCAGTTTTGTTGCTGAAGTTATCCATATAAGTTTCGTTGGTGATCCCATTTGCATCAGTTTCCTTTACTTTAACTGATTTGATGATTTCATAACAAACTTTGAATTTAACCACCATTGTTGAATCATTGATATAGAAATGTTTCGAGCAGAAATCCGGTGAAAACATCACTTGTTCTATGCACAATTCTCGCCCTTGATCAGCGACAATTTTAACTTCGAAGTTGGCGACGAAGCTTGGAAGATTTTCGCATTCGAAAGAGAATGATAAATTTCTACCATCTTTCATCAGCTTAATGAACCTGCAAAGTAAATAAAAATTAATACAAATTTAGTCAAGTTTTCTTTATAAATTTCCTTACCATGATTCGTCACTATTTTCCAAAGGAAAGTTTTCAGTTTTCACATAACAATTTGAAGGGAATTCAAAATTTTGCAGGCCACAAACGCTCCACATAAATTCTTTTTCAACTCTATCAAGATTACAAATTGCAAATCGTGACATTTTAAGATTTGTTTTGAATATGTTTCTTGCTATCTAAATAAAAATTTCAATTGAATTAATTTCAAAAATTATTTGAAGGTTTTTCGCAGAGTATAAAAATTCTGATGTTTCTTGATCGACTGTGTCTTTCAAACTGAAGAATTGAATTAAAAACCTGCCTTGATTATAACTTTCAAGAAGCTGAAGAGTAATGAGAGAAAAATTCTCAAAGTGGGAGGGAATTTAAGAAATTTAAAGGATTAACAGATGTCCACTTAATTGTATCATCTCAATTGTTTATGTATTGTTTAGTTAATAAATGAACACGTGCAATAAATGTTGGATGCGTTTACATACACAGCTGTGCACAGGTACGAAAAATATTTTCATGGGGAATTCCCACAAAAAGGATTAAAGTCAAATTAAGATTCAAGGATAATTCTTCACTAATTAAACTTCAAAACAGATTAATGGAAGTGTTTTTAAATATTGTTTTGTCTCTTACATACTTTACTAATGGAATTTACATCTAATGGAATTTTCCAATTATCAAAATTTCCCTTTAATAACCTCACAGAAGTATCAACTTTGTAATTAACTCGAATTCATTTTAACAAGTTTAATATGCAGTTGCCCAAGGGGTCAAATAGCCTCATTGGCTTAAGTCGCTTGGAGTCGGGCGTACAATTCATACGTCCCGGGTTCGAACCCCGACTTGGTCATGAGGTAGAGTGAAGTTTAGATACTTCGGCCCTTTAGTATAAATATATACAAATAGTTACTATTAGTAACAAGTGGGGAAATGGCTACAAGCTCAAACCACTACAAATAAGTTGAATCAAAAAAAAAAAAAAAATGA